AGAGAGATAGAGAGAGAGAGAGAGATACGAGAGAGAGAGAGAGAGAGAGACAGAGAGAGAGAGAGAGAGAGAGAGAGAGAGAGAGCAAGCATTGGGAAGATAGAGACAGAAAGACAGAGATTGAGAGGGAGATATAGAGAGAGAGATAGAGAGGTGTGGGTGGAATGGGACATGTGGGTATTTTTATAGCCAGATCTTTTTGAAGGGATCAGGAATGCTCTAGTTTCCTGTGATAAACATTGGGAATATGTGGAACCGCAGATAAAATTGTATAAAAGTTAGCAATGCAAGCACTTACCTCTATAAATGTTCTTTCAATTTTCAAAAGCAAGGTATAATATGAATTGTGATCTATGAAGACAGTTAGTTACTGTTTTGATATGTTGAATGTTTATTTATGAAAATAAAAAAAAATAAAAAATGCTAATAAATTTTTTCCTGTTTTGCACAGAAGTGCAAACTATATGGTGATATGATATCAAGTCTTCTCAATGAAAACAGTATATTACCAGCATGATAAAATGTAGACCTCAGAAAATTGCAATACAGCAAAAATGTGTTGGCAGAAAATAGCAAGATGTTCTTTATTCTTGCACCTTGTAAGCTATTTGGATAGTTGATATAAAGTGTAAACAACAAAAAGAATATTTTACCAATTTGATATAGTGTAAGTAAATGATAATTTTTAGAATCTGAATAATTCAAAAATATAGAAAAGATAACACTCAATACACAATGTTACCTGCATTGCACGGGAATAAACTATTTGCAGAGATAACATTTAGTCTGCTAGATGAAAACGGTCAATTGCCAGCATGATAAAGCATAACAAATTACAAATATAGACCTTATAAAAAGACAATATTGCAAAAAGAAAAAAGAAGATTGCTTATTGTGGAGGCAGGAAGGCTCGATAGTGCATGAGTATGTGTGGCCTGGACCTACTGGCCACACACCCAACAGAGTCACAGCCGTAGTAGGCCTAATACCTGGATTTTGGCTTGCATGAGGGCCACAATGCACCCGGATCCAAGGGGTTAAGAAATATTTATTGTATAATTCTACTAAAGTTTTTATCAGTATAATACACACAAGATTATAACTTATTTTCCAGTGTTTGTCCTTGCTCCTGTTGATGGTTGTAACAGAACTCGCAGGAACCACCCTTGTTTACAAGAAGCAGCATATACTAGGCCAGGCCCTCAGTAACTATATGGCTCATTCCATGCACATCACTTCTGTAGACTATGGACTTAATATCTCTGACACACAGCTATGGGATGAGATCCAGATGGAGGTATGTAAACTTATGGTGTTGACTGATTTTGTTAATACTGTCTGTGTGTACAGTATAATGTTATAGTAGTATTAGATTATAGCTATGGTCAAGGTGATGAGGAATAGGCAAATTTAACTGGCAGATAGTTGAATATTCAAATTTGCATCTATTAGCAAGATGATTTTTGCCTAATCTACTTTTGAAAAAATTGTGCTATTTGCTCTGCCTTCAGGTTGAGGCAGTATTGTAAGCTACTTTGCCAAGCCATCTAGATTATGTTTTGAATTTCAGATGGCCATAAGTGGCAATGTAGTTTTATTTGTACAAGACAATCAAATTATATTCATGCTAATTTTTTTTTTTGGGGGGGGCAACAAGCAAGGTGTTTTTTTTTTTCTTTCTTTCTTTGTTTTTTCTTTTTCTAAATAAGGCCTTGCATTCTCCTTAGGTTAATGTTTACTGAAGGTTTACCAAAGATAAGCTGAATATTGAATAAGATTTGCTTAGATTTGTAATATTCTATATATAAAGAATAAAAGAATCTCACACTTTGCAGATGAACTGTTGCGGTGTCGTGTCTTACAAGGACTGGTTCCTCACAACATTTGGCAATGGTACAGATGTGCCTGACTCTTGTTGCCTCCTTGTTGTAGAAGGCTGTGGAAAAGGTGTTGCTAATTTAGCAGATCCAGATGATGAAGTTATTACAGAGGTGAGGACTTTGTGTTTAGTATGTAGGTTTGTAAGTAATCATTGTTAGTATCCCAGAGTAACACAGTTGTTTTGTGACTTGGAATACAATAGAAGAAATGTGTATAACAGGTCATTTTGAAAATAATCAAGGCGTATTATTATTATTATTTTTTTTAACACAGGGATGTCTCCCAACTGTCCTGCATTCCATTGGGATTGATTATCACAGTTTGAGCAGAGGGGTATGGCTGCCTGTGTGTGCCATGCATGTAGCTTTGGTAAGTGAATGTATTTCAAATTATTAAATCTATTAGATTAGACATATCAGAAGTAAACATGCATATTTCTATTTACTCTTAATGCAAGTGAAAAATGTCTTTACAGCAAGTGATTTCAAATTTTGTATTCATATTTGCTCTTATCAACAGATGGTGCTCCTTGTGGCTACGTCTATGTTCCTGCAGGAGAGCTACACGGCTACAAATCTCCGTGCTTACTCCATGTCATCCAGTGCAGTTGATAGCAGTCACAAATACCACCAGTTGGATGAAGATTGTTAAAAAGTATTCTGGAAAGGAAAGGATACCATGGCACTGTAGTATGATCTGATATAAATGATCTACAATTCAATTAATTCTAATTAGTTTTGGTTAGTACTACTGGTTTTAGTTCCATAGTTTTGGGTTTATTTTAACATGCACTTTCTTGTGTTGACAGTTGCAGGGTCATCATTTAGCATTCTCATTTTTTCTTCCAAATTATTATTTGTATAGATTCTTTGTGAAAGAAAGTAATGGACATCATTACTTTTATTATTTTATTTGCTTTGTTTACATAATCCTTTGGAAATGATATCTTTTTATTGTTTTTTTTTATTGCCTTGCAAGGTTGTGTGTATATTTTGTAATAGACTTTATTTATTGAATAACTCTTACATATATAATGAATTAAACTGCTTTAATTTTTGGATCAGGTGATAAAAGGGTTTTACTAGCAAGGTTGTACTTACAAGTTATACTCGTTAATAAGTTGTACCTTTTTTTTATCTTGTATTATTCATGCTAATGATGTTTTTTTTTTTTAACAAAAGTGGCTGTATGGTTTAAAATCTGAACAGTAAGGCTAAAAAACTTTCAGACTTGAAATTATTAGTCATATTTTGCACAAAGTTCAGACATCAACTTGTAAATTTTTATGTGCCTTGCTATTAGACCTGTGATGGGTTTTCCATACATGATAGAAGAAAAGATATTGCATATACAAAGAATTAGTTAGAAAAAGGAGGGTAAGTATGACACTAAAAACACGTCCAAGTAGATGAGTCGTAAAGTTAGACATTTTTCCATCATGTCTTTGCTTCACCCCTTTAGTGGAGTTAGAATTATCCTCATAAAAGGTATGCCACTGTTAGCATCCTGAACTACACCTCTCTAACGAATGTAACAAGTAATCACCCCTAATATAGGACATGTTCTAAATACCTGCTTGCTTGTATTAAAGTAGATATGTATGCAGTACCAATGTGTGCAAATAGATCTTTTTCTTTCAATTTTTTCTTTTCTTCTCTATTGTTTTCTAATTTTTCAAATATAGGAATTTAGTTTGGTTTAATGGAAGGCCTTTTGGTTGACTTATATATAGGTGGTGATTTTACAGTTTCCTCAAGAATTATAGTGGAAGAAAAGAAAAATTTCCTTTGTGCAATACTTTGAAGCACACTATTAGGTACTCATCTTGTGAGGTCAATTTATATGACTAGTTTGATTAGGTGACATAACATATTTTTTTCATTTGTGGGAGAACTGTGTATATATATCTCAAATGTATAGAAGGCTTAGATTTCGCTCACTATATGTAACAAATGTGATATTGAAACTTTACTGTAAAGGAGAAAAAAATGGACAGTTTTTGTATTTTAAGGACAGTTTCAGTTCATTAAGACAAGTGTGTGCATGTGTGTGTGACTGACTCTAATAGACTCTTTATTTATTGAATAACTCTTACATGTAAGACTGTAAAGGGGGAAACCCGGATATAACATCTAGACCATACATCTTGCTTCTGATTTAAAGACCTGGCTGGAAAAAAAATTCCTGGCTTTTGACTAGGTGATAGAGTATGCAAAAATTATGTAATTATCCTGAAAGACCTATATATCTCTAATGTGTAAATTGACTTTACATGAAACTTTTATTTGCAACATGAACAATTCTCAAGTTTGGGAAAAGTACTTATAAGTAAGAGGAGAAAAGTTACCGATAAGGGAGAATTTTGGAGGGTTTGATTGAGAGAAGAGTGTGTGTGATATATATACTGTATCACTGAAGCTAAGTACAAGTGTGAATAGTGTGTTTTTGAAATGAAATATCAGTCTGCAGGAGGTAAAGTTCAGTTAGTGGAAACTCCAGCTGAGGTATTAACTCTGAATATTTGTCAGTTAAAAAGAAGGTGCACCCCATTTTACTAATGTGTGTGCATGATGCTTGAGACACTCATACATGCATACAGATACACACACAGACTCAGACATGCACACACAGTTCTCTCTCTCATATTAACTTGCATCAAGTAACATAAATTAATAAAAATGCCTGATTTTGTTTTCTATTGGGGTACCCTTATCAAGTATTAGTGTTCAGCCTAATATTAGTATTCAGAAAATAACTATAAGGTGATGAGGGAACATAACAAGATTGGGAGAAAAATATTTCCTTCATACTACTGAATATGTTGTTTAGAAAGATCCCTTTACATTGTAACATGTTCAGCACTGTCCATACTGGTGTTTTGTATGCAAGGTTTTATGCACATATTCAGGAATCCTTAATGTGACCCTAGTAAATAGTTTTAAAAAGTATCATGTTCATGTCATGCTTTACAACATAAACCATTTGACCCCTGAAAAGATTGTCATGGATCCTCATTAATAGGTAATCCATATTTTCTCCCATTTAAATGATAATTCTAGTTGTTCATGTACCTTGAATTTTAGAATTTTCTTGGAAGTGAATGATAGAAATTTTAATAATGCTGTAGCTCAAACAGGAATGCCACTTTTAGTGAATATTGTTTCTTTCTGGTGTCCTATTTTTGTTTTTTTGCTGGTACATATAGGAGTGTCTTTGTTCCATGAACATTGCCATCATTAAACAATACATGCAGTTTTTTCAGAGAAGAACATGGAAGAAGACATAGCAAAGAAGTTCAGAGGATATATCATCACATGCAGTAGGATTTATAGCCTGAATTTTAAACTTAGTCGAAAGATAGGGCAATGGAAGTTGTTTTTTATGTATGTATGCGCTGGAGGAATACTTAAAATTTGCTCCTGACTTGTGTTGAATTAAATTGATTTAGAAGGGTGCATTTGTCAGATTTTTTTTTCTTTTTATTTAATTTGTAAAGATAAACACCAAAAAGGATATCTTTAGAAATTATTATATTAGGGGGATGGGGAATATAAAATCATATATATTATGGTAGCATAAGCAATGTAAGTAGTGACAATTTTGAATTTTCCACTTATTCTGAATTCCACAGTCTCTTGCAGTGAATCTCCAATGAGTTCAAAGAATTGGAAACTTCATCTTAAAAAGTCTGTAGTTTTGGCTATGCATAATTATTTTTTTATTATGAAAGTAATCACTCATACGAAATATATGTTGCACATGCATTATAACAAACCATTATCAGAACAGATTTATATGATATGGCAGATATTTTGTGTATATTATGGATTAAATAAAGTGGCTTTGATATATGGATCTTTAGTTTTTTATTCTTTTTCCAAAACAGATATGAAGTGAAATTCTTTAGAATAACTATAGTAGTGTATAGATTTTACACATGGAGTGTGGAAAAATAATGGAACATTATTCACTTGTCTTCCAATCTCCCTCCTTTTTTTTTAGAAGTGTATTAACGTCAGTGTCATGTGGTAGACTTTGATTTATGCTTACTATAATTGTTGTATTACAGATATAGATAGTAATGCATGCAGAAATAAAAAAATGTTGACATTACTGGTTTGATGTAACTAATCATTTGAAACCTTTGGTCCATGGTTTGAGTGAAGGATGAATCGGTAAAGACTTTTGATATTCCCCTCTCTCTCTCTCTCTCTCCTCTCTCTCTCTCTCTCTCTCTCTCTCTTCTCTCTCTCTTCTCTCTCTCTTCTCTCTCTCTCTCTCTCTCTCTCTCTCTCTTCTCTTCTCTCTCTCTCTCTCTTCTCTTCTCTCTCTCTCTCTCTCTCTCTCTCTCTCTCTCTCTCTCTCCTCTCTCTCTCTCGTCTCCTTCTCATCTCTCTCCCCTCCTCCCCTCTCCCGTCTCTCCCCTCTCTCTCTCTCTCCCAAGCCGTCTCTCTCTCTCTCTCCTCTCTCTCTCTTCTCTCTCTCTCTCTCTCTCTTCTCTCTCTCTCTCTCTCTCTCTCTCTCTCTCTCTCTCTCTCTCTCTCTCTCTCTCTC